AGGAGTTGGACCAACATCCTGGAGAGAAAGGAAGTGCAGAGGGCTGAAATGCACATTGAGGTCTCCTGACCTCCTGGAGGCACCTGCCAATTCCTAAGCAGGGTCTAAGAGGCTGAAAAACTGGGGGGAACTTTCAGCAGACTCACAGCTTGGGGTAACAAAAATTAGAAGTTGAGGGCTCACCCTGAAGGAGGAATTCACCGTAGAGGAGGAGTTCTGGTTTTAAACAAGTTTCAAAAACAAACAAACAAACAAAAACAAAAACAAAAAAAAACAGGTTTTCAGTTAAAGTACCTTAAGGGGAAGTCAGGGTTATCCAGAAATAGACCAGGCCATACTAGGACTGGAACCTAGAATCAAATCTATCCCAACCCTACTTTTCTCAGAAGCAAAAGTAAATCCACTCTAAAGGAATGTCTAGAGTCTTGTATATCTCTTCAATTGTTCACTTTTTTTTTTTTAAAGATTTTTATTTATTTTTCAACAGAGGGAGAGAGACAGCGAGAGAGGGAACACAAGCAGGGGGAAGGGGGAGTGGGAGAGGGAGAAGCAGGCTCCCCACTGAGCAGGGAGCCCGATGTGGGACTCGATCCGAGGACCCTGGGATCATGACCTGAGCCGAAGGCAGACGCTTAACGACTGAGCCACCCAGGCGCCCGTTTTTTTTTTTTTTTTAAAGATTTTTATTTATTTTTCAACAGAGGGAGAGAGACAGCGAGAGAGGGAACACAAGCAGGGGGAGTGGGAGAGGGAGAAGCAGGCTCCCCACTGAGCAGGGAGCCCGATGTGGGACTCGATCCGAGGACCCTGGGATCATGACCTGAGCCGAAGGCAGTCGCTTAACCAACTGAGCCACCCGGGTGCCCTTCAATTGTTCACTTTTTAAAAGGAGTTTAGCATTCAATCAAAAGATACCAAGAACACCAGAAGATAAGAAAGACCAACTGACCGAAAAGCAAAAGAAACGCATCTCACAGAAGAACCAGAAACTGGAGTCAGCAAACATGCATTTTAACATATTGAAGAAAACAGGCGACGAGACAGGTAATTTCATCTGAACACTGTAACCTGTATTAAAAAGTCAATTAAACATTTTAGGACTGGATCCCAGGCGAGCTGAAATGAAGAACTCAATCGAAAGGATTAACCACCTATTGTAACACAAAGGAAGGCAGGAGGAATGAAGCAGAACGGACCAGTAGAAAACATTCAGACTGAATCATGAAGAACCAAAAGCATGGGAAGTGCAAAGAGCCGTCGAGATGCAGAGAAAAGCTGTTCGACACATGGCATGAGAGCCTCAGAGGGAGATGAGAGAGAACGGGGGAGAAGCTACGATGGAAGAAGCCATGTCAGGGATCCCGGATGCATCGGGGAGCCCAAGCAGAAGCTAAAGGAAGATACACCTAGATGCATACACCACACCTGCCGAAGCCCCCAGCAGATCAGAACAGCAACAGACGGAGAGCTGACTTTGCAAATGCAAACAAAGCAAGCCGAGGACATCTTCCAAAGTTGGTGTGGTCGTGGGTTTTTTTTTGACATCTTCCAAAGTTGGTGTGGTCGTGGGGTTTTTTTTTTACATCTTCCAAAGTTGGTGTGGTCGTGGGGTTTTTTTGACATCTTCCAAATTTTTAAAGAAAATAGCTGTAGTGCCCTAGAATTCTTGACGCACCAAAAAGATCTTTCAAAATTCGAGACAAAACAGAGGCTTTTCGGCAAACAAAAACTCCATCTGTCACCCGAGGGTCTGTATGGGAAGGAAAATGCCAAAGGTAGTTCTAAATGTACTGCATGCTCTCCTGGACTGAAGAAAAATTCCAAAGGTAGTTCCAGGAAAAGGAGAATAATCATGGATAAATGTGTGGAAATGCAGGAAAAAACAAAAAGAAAAAGGTAACAGATAAAGAGTAATAAAAAGTAAACATGGGGATAAATCTAAATGAGTGCTGGTTATATAATAATGTCTGTGTGATTTAAGACAGAGAACTGAGGGGTGCCTGGGTGGCTCAGTTGGTTGGGCGTCTGCCTTCAGCTCTGGTCATGATCCCAGGGTCCTGGGATGGAGCCCCGCATCGAGCTCCCTGCTCGGTGGGGAGTCTGCTCTTCCCCTTCCTCTGCTTCTCTATTCCTCACCCACTTGTGCTCTCTCTCTCTCTCAAATAAATAAAATCTAAAAAAAAAAAAAAGCAGAGAATTCTTTTTAATCCCACATGTCCACAGGAAGGGCTCCTTAAATATAGAAGCACAGATAAATTGAAAGTAAAAGATGAGCAAATATATACTGTATAATCCCTAATCCAAAGAAAGCTAATGTGTCAGACAGAGTAGATTTTAAGGCAATAATCTAATAGAGATAAGGAGGGACATTTCATAAAGATGAAAGGGCCAAGCCATTGGGAAGTTTTAACAACCCTAAATTTGTCTGCATGTGTATGACAGCAGAGCAAAACTTGTCAGCAGTGAACTAAGAGGGCGCCTGGGTGGCTCAGTTGGTTAAGCAACTGCCTTCACCTCAGGTCACGATCCTGGAGTCCCTGGATCGAGTCCCGCATCGGGCTCCCTGTTCGGCAGAGAGTCTGCTTCTACTTCTGACCCTCCCCCCTCTCGTGCTCTCTCTCTCTCATTCTCTCTCTCAAATAAATAAATAAAATCTTAAAAAAAAAAGTGAACTAAGAGATATGTTCACACAAAAACTTATACGTAATTGTTCTCAGCAGCATTATTCACAGAAGCCAAAAAATAGAAACAACCCAGCTGAAGAAGGATAAACAAAATGGGATATATCCATGTAATGGAATATCATTCAGGAATAATAAGGAATTAAAAATTAATCATAAGGAATAATGATACATGCTATAACATGGAGGAATCTTGAAAATATTTTGTTACTACTAGAAAAGCTTGACATAAAAGGACATATACTGTATGTTCCATTTATAGGAAATATCCAGAAGGGGAAAATCCAGAGATAGAAAGCAGATCAGCAGTTGTCAGGGTTGGGGGGCGGGGAGTGGGGGGGGGCAGTCGGTTAATCATCTGACCCTTGGTTTGGGCT